TGACAGAACTATAATATTAAACTTGTATGCAAACATAGGCAGGTTGGAAGCGGAAAATGCACAGAAAATAGATTGAATATTGAACTTTCGAGATAAGTTGGACTAGTAATAATTATTAACAAAATAACACATACGATATCCCGGAAATGAAACCTGATTAAAATTTGATTAGTGCTAAGGTGCGGTCGATGGGAGCCTTAGCCGACACTTCGTGTGGCAACTGTTCGGGTGTAGTCAACTAAACTAACTTTACTTTGCGGGAGCTAAGTTGATGAATTGCCATCAAGTTTCACTTTGCTAAATATTCTTTCGGGGTTAAATGACTTTGATCATGTGACGATCTCGTGAACAAATTTGAACTTAAATTGTGTAGGCCTATGATATCAGATAAATGAAATTCAAAATACTCGTAATCATGTTTGTCTTCTTTGTAAGTCTTGAAAAAATAGCCAGAATAATGACGTATACTGTTCCAAACCTGATCGCCAAGGTTTCACATTATCTCCACGTAATATTGAATTAAATGTAAATATTACTTAATAAACATGTAAAATCTGTTGTAAGAGATATTTTCAGGATATGTGATACATATTGAAATTATGCAAAGCATTTAAAGAGAAAAAAAAATCATGAAGACAAAAATAATGGCGGAAATTCAATAGAAAGAGAGGGGAATCGACGAAGACGAAAGGATAGGTGCTGGCAAAAGACGCACCTACCCACGCAGTATGTATCAGAGAAGAGGGAGAGGTTTAAAAATAAAAATAATAAATCTGTCTCTGTCTCCTTCTACCCCCGTCTCTCTCTCTCTCTCTTTCTCTCACACACACTCTTCTCATCTCGTTCTCCTTATCTCTACATGAGATACATTAATGACTTAATTTGTATTGATAGGGAATGAAATGTCATCATTGATCTAGGAAAGTATTGAGCTTCTTAACACTAGATTAATAAACTGTCTGTCAGCACACACATTTTGTCACCAAAGGCTTCTAAAATCAATCAAAATGAAATTTGGTTTAGTTGAACACTAACAAGATCTTACATAAAAGGGAGATAGGTCGTTGATTTATAGTCATGTTTCGCTTTAATGTAATTCGATCAAAAAACAGTATGGTGTCGAAAGTGCATACATATGCAGGTTTTCGTTCCCACAATAGAAGTCCTATAAAGAGATAGAATGACTGGATATCAATTTTAATTTTGGTGCAGGCCTACTCCTTAGCACTACTTACTAAAAAAATAAGGGTGCGATTCTGCTACAATAGCTGCAGTCCCTGCCAAATACCTACGCGTATTTGGCAGAGGGTGCTGCTATTGTAGTAGAATCGCACCCTTATTTCTTAGTGTGTTGTGTCTATGACATTCATGATGGCTAAGCCGAATTATTTCTTAGAAGGAAGTTTTAAAAAATTGCCTCTGGCAAGTCTACCTAGTCAGCACAAATTGATATTGGTCGTATTCCTTTAAATACAATGTTATGAGTAATTCAGTTTATTTGGCATCATAAAACATTACAAATCATAAATGCACAATAAATAATAGGCCAGGACCTCCAGGGAGCAACTTGCGGTTGTACATGACGCCCCTACTAGGTATACATACATACATGAAGAAGAAGAAAGAAAAAAAGAAATGACCCTTAAATATCAGCACGTATCACTCATGATGCACACACCCACAGTCAAACACAAACACAAAAGAGCAATACACACATAAAGGGAGATTACAGAATGAGAAAGAGAAGAAAGGGAAGTGGTGAGAAAGAGACAGAGATGAAATGGAAGAGGTGAAAATGAGAAAGATAAGAGAAGGTCTACTAAGTCAAGCATTACATTGTTTTAAAGTGTGGAGCTGGATTTAAGGTTTAATATTACAAATTGAATATCATCCATGTACTCCTGTAAACCGGATAGAACGGGTAATATAATGGGAACACAAAGATTATCCCGTGTACGAATATAGTACGTATGGAATGAGGAATAACTTCTAAAAACATAGTATCGAGAAATACTGAAAGAATACCTTTGTGATACATAAACATAAAAACTGACATATTAAATTCAAATATTTCAAAGTTTGGGAGAATTTTGAATTTAACAATAGTGGTAGACTGAAATTACGAAAGTCACTCTATTTTATCAGTCGTAGTGAACATTTTCGAAAAAAAGATATGATTTATCAATAAAGATTGGGGGGTTAAATTATCTGATTTTTAATAAAAGACCCATGACTTCTTGAAAGCTCAGAATATATGTTTTAAATGTGATACTTTCAGTCAAGTGACTCATGAATAAGAATGCCTACGGAAATTAATGAACCATTTTTTCTCAGTAACAGTATTTTCAATTCTAATCGGGTCAATGTTGGATGGATTTTTTTCCTTTTAGTCAGAGTGGAAAAGTACATATTTGTTTTATTGAAATTCAATGATTGCTTGTTATTAAATATTTGTGATTAGGTGATCTGCCGTAGCGTAGCAGAGTACCTATTGATATTGTCAAAATCTATATATATATATATTTTCCTTTCTTTCTGTATGGACTTTGTTCGCTTCATATCTCATAAATGACAAGGTTAACGACAATGTCAATAACATTCTTATGACATGTGTCATATGCAAGATTATTTTTCTCCTTTTCTCTTTTTTTTTTTTTTTTTTTTTAGCCGCAAAAAAATTGCCCAATTTGTACCAAACATGAGGGCGATTATGTGTCCAACCAACTGTTGGGTAAATCAAAAATTTTGCATGATTTACCCAGTGTTGGATAAAAAGAAAATACCCAGCTTTTAACCAACACAAATTTACCCAATCAGAAATTCAACGAATTCTCACCATAATGTGTAGCATATATTAGACACTAGTTTGGCAAATAAGTTGGATAAAATATTATATGCAAAAGGACATTAGTGCCGCGGCGGGACTCAAACCGCGGACCTTGTGATCCACAGACGTGAGTCATATCCACTCGACCACGACAACTCTAATATATATGAACATAACCATATTGTTAAATGATATTTGCCCGACTTACGTTTGCCCAGTAACATCTGCCCAACTTATTTTGAACATTTAATTGGGTAAAAACATGTAGTAATAACCGGGTTGGGAGAAAATAGCCTACATGTTGGACAAAAATGTCCCAACTTTAATTTGCCCAATAACATTAAACTAATTTTTTCATCGGCAACTACATAGTTGGTAGAAAATAACCCAATTATTGGACGACATTTCCCCAACATCGATTTGCCCAGTAAGACCTACTCAATCAATTTTTTACCTTTCATGAGGTAACTTCATAGTTAATGATTGAGAGAAAATAACCCAATTATTGGACAAAACTTGCCCAACTTTGATTTGCCCAGTAACATCTGCCCAACTTTTTTAACAGTGTACTTTTCAGTTTTCTCTTTTCTTCCAAATTCTTCTTGTTTCCTTCTCAATTTTGCCAAATTTATGTTTCCATTTGGCCAGAAGTTCAAATTTGTACACTCAATTCACGGGATTAGGTATAAAACAAATTATTCAACATTTTTATCATATTAGCTTTAGTATATTTTTGTTACAGTTAGCTTTATTATTTCCCTTCAGTTGAAGAGAACATTTGTGAAATTCTTTAGTGCATACTGGCATCATAATGAAGTTCAAATACATTTTTTAACTTGAAATGCGATGTCTTTGTGAAGTGTTGCGGCAGAAAAATTGATATATCGGAAAGCAAAAAACTATGTACAGCGCACAGTGGCGTACGCAGGATTTTTTCAAGGGGGGGGGGGTTTTAAAATCGGGTCCAAAATTTCGCAACGACTCAGGAAAATTTGAAAATTGCGCCGGCCAAAAAGTCGCTCAGTGGGGGGGGGGGGGGGGGGGGGGGGGGGGGGGGGGGGGGGGGGGGGGGGGGGGGGGGGGGGGGGGGGGGGGGGGGGGGGGGGGGGGGGGGGACACTTTTTTTTTTTTTTTTGGTCTCGAAATTTGAAAATTGACATTTTGCTCCGTTGGGGGGGGGGTAAGGTCACCTTTCTTAGGTCAGCCATGGAGGTAATTTTTTTTTTTTTTTTTTTTTTTAATAATAAAAAAAAAAAAAAATAAAAAAATCCAAAGGGGGGGGGGGGGGTTTAGGTTTTTTTTAGGGGGGTTTACACATGTAAAAATACCAAAGGGGGGTGTTTAACCCCCCCAACACACCCCCCCCCCCTGCGTACGCGCCTGACAGCGCATGTACCGTTGCGTTTCTAGTATAAATTCAGCTTAACGTTTGCAGGCAGGGGAATCTAATAGGCTTCTTTAGAAACAATAGGTTCATCCATTAGTCATTAATTTAATTAGTTATATTGTCTTGAATTTCAGGTTAGGGTTCGGGTAATATACTAGGTGTTATGATGTCCTGTTAATGTACCATTTGGCGTTATATATAGATGTCTTGTTAATACAACATGTAAGGTTATAATGTATTTATATATAAGTGATTCAGAAAAAATTTTCCGTCACGGTAATATAGAAATAACAATTAAAACAGTTGATATAAAAGATTCACAGAGATTTCAGTTCACTATTACCAGTTTAATTTTTATTTCGTCAGATAGTAAATTCAAAAACCTATAATGATTTGTATTATAGTTATATAGAACCGAACTCCCTAGGATATTTTTTCAACTGTTTTAACCATATTGTATATATTAGTAAGATATATAAATATACGACTTTACACAAACACACGCACGCACACACGTAGAAGCACTGGCACATGCTCACTCGTCCACATGAAACACAGTCGCAAATAAACATTCTAAATGAACCTAGGAAAATGAAAAACAGGCCAAAAAATTGTGCATGTCCAAATTTTCTCCACGTAGAAAAATTAGGCTAGGGGGTCTCAGGAAGCTTGAAATTGCTTGCGTAGTGCGGCGGCTGGCCACGTACATCCCCCAAATCTCTTTGTGGACTAGCTAGCTACTTGTACGCGGGTCGGATGAAATCGAGGCCATAGATAATGACTTACCAATGAAAATATAAAGAATCGAGCGGTATGCGTCTGGAGAACCAACTTGGATTGAAATTCCTGCCAATAAGAACCTGATTATCGCTGGGGCATCAATCTCGCTAATGAAGCGAAACTAGATGTGCATACCGTAAATACACACACAAACATGTCCGTGCGCACATAAAACACGCGCACATATAATATTTTAACGAGCGGGTACATAAAAACCAAAATACTTTGAATATTCAGTCAAACCTGTTTTAATGACCCCCCCACCCCCCTGTTGTTTGGATAAAGAGCGTCATGAGTATTTTTTTTTGTCGTCAGTATCGTTGGAAAAATATGTTAAGTTATCTGACCTCCGTGCGTCATTTTAATTATGCAAATTTATGCACGACGCTTCTCGCACCAAGTGAGAAAGTTTAGTTCACGGAAAATTGATGAGTATGGTTGAAATTACATTTAGATTACGTGTATTTAGTCATTTATTTAGCTAAATTGTAATAGTCTTCGTGACCTACGGAAATTTCTTTACATTTTGAAAAAGATTTGTTAGGAAAATGCTTGAAACATTTGTTTCTTGACATTACACTTTGATTTTTATCGTCATGAAATAGTTTGATTGCGGTTTGTCGCCTTGTCACCCTGCTACCGGGTACCCGGGCTTCCGGCAGAGCCACCCGGGGAAATTTCGCTGCACATCTGCACCAAGATCTAACCGGCTAATCTGGTTTAATTCAAAAATTTGATCGTCATCGTGAATCTTATTCCTCAATCATCGATTGCATTGATATCTAGATATAATGTTACACCTCAAATAATCTATGAAATATGTTTTTGTTAATATTTTCATAATCCAAGCTGATGAGTTCTTGTTGAAATCTTTGATTGATCTGGACCTACTTGGGGTACCAATACCAGCCGTCTGCTCAGTTCAACAGTTGTATCATCGTGCGTGTCAAATTTAGACCAAATTTATCTGTGATCATTGATACGGCCAGTGGGGATTCTGGGGAGGGGGGGGCCTCCCCTGATGGAGAAACAGAAACTTCTAGTTTCCCATTCCTGGTGCTCGAGGGGGGGGGGGGGGCGCGGAGGGGTTGCGATTTTCAAAAAAAGAGAGAAGAAATAGCGCTCCCTCCCCCCCCCCCCCCTACTGAGCGAATTAGCGACCGGTGCGCTTTTCAAATATTCGGGGGCAAACAAAACATATTGCACATCATGGTCATGATTTAGGGAATGCAATCCAAAACTTACTAAAATCATGTAAAACCCCCAAAAAAATTAATCCAATACGAAGAAAACATTTCTATCAGAGTACATTGTTTGATCTTTTTTATTTTTTGTTTAATTAATATTCAATGTTATTTTTTCATATTCCTATCAAACATCGTTCTTTGTTTCCCTTCTTTCCATGTCTCTTTCACTCCTTTTATAGTATGTCTATTTGATTTTTGTATTGGTGCGTTTCCTTTAATTAGTGGAATACTTTTTTTGCAATTTTAAAGGAGACTGCAATCTACAAGCCCGGCTTTTCAGCAGTCCCCTCCACGACCAACCTGTTCTATATGCCTGTTGTACACTGTGGACCTATTACAAATATATTGTCAAGTTCCCATAGGAAAGAAATGAGCCTGCCGCATACTCCTGCGGCAGACTTGCAGCAGACAGTCATCTTTTTCACATGCAAATTAGTTTTGCCGCAGACTTGCCGCACCATCGCCGCAGACTCGTCATCATGGATATTCATAGAAAAAGCTATGACAAAGAGTCTGCTGCAAGCCTGCTGCAGACTCTTCATCATGAATATTCATATCCCATATAGACCTGCTGCAGACCTGCCGCATTCTCTTTCATATCCACCCCAGTGAACGTGGCAATTAAGTATACCGTCTTGCAGGAAGGCTATGCTGGAGAGCCATGTATTGCATCATTACATTATAACACCTTGAATTAGTAGAAACAGGCGGAATTGCTTCAAAAATTCTACAAATGTTGGTTTAACACAATGCAGAAATAGAGGTAGAGGTATATGAATACAATAACTGCATACACATATTCCAGAGTAGAGTCACAAATCCATGTGCTGTGCACACATTACACAAGAGTTACAACAAAAAAGTGAGTTAGTGGGGCTGAAGATAGGATCACATATGGCACAACAAAAACGTTTGAACAGTCCGTTAATTCCTCAGTCTCCTCTTATCCTCCAAAATGGCCGCCTCTAGCCTTGCTGCGGACTGTATAATTTCCCACTTTTCTGTGGCAGATCTGCCGCAGACTGCTCCTGTGGCATACTGGTATGCCGCGAGTTTGGAGCAAAGTTTCATTCTGCCGCAGACTGTTCCTGCGGCATACTTGTATGCGACGAGTCTGGATCAAAGTTTCATTCTGCCGCAGATCTGCCGCAGACTTTTCCTGCGGCATACTGGTATGCGGCAAGTCTGGAGCAAAGTTTCATCCTGCCGCAGATCTGCCGCAGATTGTTCCTGTGGCATACTGGTATGCGGCAAGTCTGCAGCTAAATTCTTTCTGTCGCATACTTCGGCAAACTCTTTGCCGCAGATCTGCTGCAGCAGGTCTGCCCCATACTTTTTATTTTCCTATGGGTTTCATTGTTTAACTTTGAACAATGCAATCCCATGTAATTTAATTATTTTGTTGGAAATAGAAATAAACGAAATAAAAATAAATATTTTTGTTATTACAAAAGTTTATACAATAGCAACACAAAATTTGAAATTTGTCAGACATGCTGTAGCATCACCAGGAAGACAAAGGCAATAATGGTGGATTGTACATGTATAAAAGCATGCAATTAAGCGTGTGCTGACCTGGGGAAAATTACATACCATTGTCTATATACAAGCCGACTGTTTAGTCTGACATGTCTAACATAGCAATACGTATATTGTTATTGTTTGTTGCATTGTAACATATAGTCTACTTCGGCAAAGTTACATACCACTTTCTCAAGTTAGCTCATTGATGACTGACATATAATGTCACAAGAGGAATGAGATCTGGAGGCTTTTTAGGGTGGAACTTAGCAAGTTCGAAGAAGAAGAAGAAGAAAAAAAATCATTTAAACGCATTCAGAAGTTACATAACAAAGCAGGCATATCCGGACACCTCCCCCCCCCCCCTCCCTCCTCTGGACATCCACCCCCGGATAACCACCCCCAGTCAAGTATACCCTAGGACAACCACCCTCTAGGACAACTACCCCAGGATAATTACCCCCGGAAAGCTACCCCCAGACTATACCCCCTAGGACAACTACCCCCCGACAACTACCCCCTCCGACAACCATCCTCTAGGTCAACTACTCCCGAGTGTAGTTGTTTAGGGGGTAGTTGCCAGGTAATAGTTATCCTAGGGGGTAGTTGTCCAGGGGTAGTTTTCCTGGGGGTAGTTGTCCTAGGGTAGTTGTCTGGGGGTAGTTATCCCGGGGATATTCGTCCTAGAGGGTAGTTGCCCTAGGGGGTAGTTGTCCTAGGGGTAGTTGACTGGGGGTGGTTATCCGGGGTGGATGTCCAAGGGGTAGGTGTCCTGGAACCGTTAGCAGGACTACACACCATATGAATACATGCCTCACACATGCACTCGCACACATCTGCAAGAATCTTCAACAGTGAAGGAGGCAGATTATTTTGAAGAAGAAGAAGAAGAAGAAGAATCAACTTGTATTTGGTTGGATGGCAGGGGCCCTTTAACAGGAAAATGTTCAGAGCGAACTTTTGACGTAACGCCAATTTCCTTCCCGTCGCTACACAGGGGAATTTCCATAACCTTATTGTATGTCCCATCGAAATCATGTTTGGAATAAGTAATGCGTGATTGTCATCTTCGCACGTTTCAATAAATGACGCACAGACGTAGTGGATGTAGTGCGCCCTGAGCGGTAGCCACAAATCTCTGCTCTGTGTTCTGTGACGTTTGTCTCTTTTCTGTGGAGTGGATTCTTGTTTCAAAGCCCAGTGTATGAATGATATAGTTCTTGTGATGCCAGATCTTGTGATTGCTCATTGAACTTTATCATTCTTACTTCGGCTTTGTTTCATTATTCACTCTTATTCTTTACTCATTTTTCTGTTATATGTTACTATGTATTGATGTTTTCCATGATGTTTATATTGTTCAAGTAGTTTGTTTCTTCATATATTTTGCATTTGTGTACAGGGCCCCCTGGAAAACAGTACTGTGATTACTGACGGGCTACCCTGTTTAAATAAAACGGAATATATAAAGGAATAAATAAATAAATGACGCACAATGCTTTTGAAATTGACTTCTGGTTAATTTGTTTGAAAATAGTTGCAATTATGTTGAAATATTTAATGAAGTGCCTGAAGGTAAAAGGCTCAAAGGAGAAAAAACAAGGACTATTTATATTTGTGAACTCAGCAAACAGGGCAGTTGTCCATAACTTAGTCAAAGTCCACCGACCAAATTGCCAATTTGAGATTCGCTTTAGCGATCACATTTTTTCAAACAGTCATAGTTTTCTTCCCATTGGTCCGATTTATTTCAAACTTCCGCTATTTTGTGTGCGTAATTTGTTCTGCTTTCATACCACAAAAAAAATTATACCAAGGGTTGAATTACCCTTCAATGATTACCAGACAAGTTGTCAACAATTTGGTTGAACTGACTCCCCATTCATAACAACCAATTAGTGGTAAAAGGACACGATACAATTTGACAAGGAAGTACAACTTCCTTGGATGAACAACTGGTGTGTGTGTGTGCTTCAGATCAGGATTTTTTGTGGAATAATGTCTCTAAATATCATTGACATCAGGCAAGATTTGTAGGTGTTTGGTGATTATTCTTAGTGATTATATGTTGGATCAAGCAGATTGTGAAGGATTTTCCATATAGCCAAGAGGAAAATAGTGAATCTCAGCTCTGGAAATACAGTGGCTACAGTCAGTTTTTGCATGGAAGTTACTTCAGCCCCATCTGTAAGTTTCTGTGTTACTATAGTTTACATTTAGGAATTGCATGCAAAGGTTTCTGCTATGATGTCATCATTCTGGAAAACTCTGTAGTGGAATCAATTGTCTCTGACACTGCTCCTGTAAAGGATTTTCCACTCTGCTGCCTGATAATACAGCAAATTAGTCCCAAACGATAGATACTAGTCTGGTCCCA